CTTCTCAGCCACACTACTTGAGAAGTTGCAATTGAAGCCGACACATACTCAGCCTTTGCCGTTGATAGTGCAACTGATTTCTGTTTCTAAGATGCCCAAGAGAATACACTAGTCCCTAGTGTAAAAGTATAGCCAGATGTGCTCTTCAAGTCATCCACACTACCTTCCCAATCACTATCACAGAACCCATACAATTTTGGCTCAACATTCCTTTCATACATAATACCAAAGTCAAGTGTACCTTGTATGTATCTTAGGATCCTCTTTGCAGCTCCATAGTGAATGCAAGTAGGCTTGTGCATAAATCTGGACAACAAGCTTGTAGCATACATAATATCGGGTTTAGTCGCTGTCAAATACAACAAACTCCCAACAAGGCTTCTATACACGGATTCATCAGCATCACCACTACCATCTTCTCTTTGAAACTTTTCATTCACAACTAGAGGTGTTGCAACAGGCTTGCAACCAACCATTTTGAACTTTTCTAGAAGTGTTTTTGCATATTTCTTTTGAGTAATAAAGATACCATCATTTGATTGAATGATACTAATTCCCAAAAAATAATGCAACATGCCTAGATCACTTATCTCATATTTCCTCATCATGTCATTCTTGAAATTCAAGATCACTTTATCACTACTTCCAGTATAAACCAAATCCTCAACATATAAGGAAACAATAAGGATATCTGAAGTACCTTCTGTTTTGACATATAGGGCAGGTTCATTCTCACTTCTTTGAAAACCCCTTTCATTGAAATATGAGTCAATCTCTCCATACCATGCTCTCGGAGCTTGTTTCAAGCCATAAAGTGCCTTCTTAAGCTTGTACACCTTGTGCTCTTGTCCTTTAAGAACAAATCCTTGAGGTTGGTCAACGAAAACCTTTTCTTTTAGGACTCCATTTAGGAAAGCTGACTTGACATCAAGTTGGTGTAGAAACCACCCATTCTGAGCAACTACAGAAATAAGGCCTCTGATTGTTTCATGCCTAGCTATTGGTGCAAAGGTTTCTTGGAAATCAATCCCGGGTTTCTGAGAATAACCCTTTGCTACCAATCTAGCTTTGTTCCTTTGAATAGAACCATCTTGATTGAGCTTAGTCTTATAAATCCACTTCACTCCAATGACGGAGTTGTCACAAGGTCTGTCTACTAGTTCCCATATCTTGTTTTTCACAATGACATTGATCTCATCTTGCATTGCAGCCTTCCATGTATCTTCTTTCACTACATCATCAAAGTTTTCCGGTTCTACAACACAGAAATTGCAACTTTCATAGACTTCATTTAAGCTCCTTAACCGAATCGGCGTTGAACTTGGACTCGAACGTGTGGGAGAGTGAACTTGAGGACTGTTTTCAGGTGACAGTTATGGAATTTCTGGCTCAATTTCCTCTTCATTTGGCTGATTTTCTTCTTCAATTCTGATTAGTGCAGACTCCTTTCGGATGGTTGCTTGATTCCAATCCCACGAAGATTTCTCACTAAAGAGAACATCTCTACAAACCACAACTTTTTTCTTTTTTAAATTGTAGAGTCTGTACCCTTTTGTGTGTGAAGCATAGCCTACGAAAATACATCTTTCACTTAACTAATCAAGTTTTTGTCTTAGTTCTTTCGGAACATAAGTAAAGCAGATTGACCCAAACACTCTCAAGTGATTCACGGAACGCTTTCTTCCACTCCATGCCTCAAATGGTGTCTTACTTTCAACTGCCACTGTTGGATGCCTATTCATTAAGTAGACGGCTGTATTAACTGCCTCACCTCACATATATTGAGGCATTCCCTTGTCATGCAACATTGTCTTAGACATTTCGACTATGGTTCTGTTTTTTCTCTCAATTACTCCATTTTGTTGTGGAGTGTAGCTGACAGCAAGTTGCCTTTCCAAGCCAATATCTTGACAAAACTTATCAAATTCTGTGGATGTGTACTCTCCTCCTCTGTCATTTCTAAGAACTTTGATTAGATAACCAAATTGTAGCTTAACCATAGCTTGAAACTTCTTGAAGATTGAGAACACTTCTGATTTCTGTTTTAGAAAGTATACCCAAGTCATTCTAGAATAATCATCCACGAAGATTAGGAAATACTTGTTTCCTACTTGAGTAGAGGTCTTCATGGGTCCGCAAACATCTGTATGAATCAATTCCAATGGAGCTTTTGCCCTCCAAGCTTTACCATGTGGAAATGAATCTCTATGATGCTTCCCAAGTGCACACCCTTCACAGATTTCTTCATTTTCTTGGATACTCGACAACCCATGCACCATTTCTTTTTCTTGTAGCTTCTTGAGACTTTGAAAATTCAAGTGGCCAAGCCTTTATGCCATAGCTTTGAATCTTCTTGCACTTCCATCTTAAGTGCAGATTGAGTTGCATACTCAATTGTAAGAGGAAAGCTTCTACTCTTCCTTATCTCAATCTTAGCCAAGAGTTGTTCACAATTCCTCCGATCATATATCTTGCAAGTATTGTCTCCAAAATACAAGTAGTAGCCATGCTCAATAAGTTGTCCAAGACTTAGCAAATTTTGCTTCAAATCAGGAACTAACATGACATCCTTGATGAACATCTTTCCACTCTTCGTATGCACGGCAATAGTACCTCTTCCCAATGTATCGACTAGCTGCCTATTTCCCATCTTCACTTGGGTTAGGTTTGTAGTGTCAACATTATGGAGAATGTTCTTATTCACCGTCATATGATTGCTACAGCCACTGTCCACAAACCAAACTTTAGCTTCTTCTTGGACGGTTGTATCATGACTAACATAAAACATATTGGTCTCTTCATCTTCTGCTTTGGTGTAGTGAGCTAGCTGATTATCTTTGTAGGTACAATCATTTTGCATATGCCCGAATCTGCTACATTTGTGGCATTTCACTTTTCCCTTGAACCAACATTCACCTGAATGAGCTTTGTCACAAATTTTGCACTTCAAAACATACGAACTCTTCTCAACCTTTTTCTTCTCTTCAAAATTACCCTTTCCTTCCCACGCTTTGTTTTTGCCTTTCCAATTCTTGTTGGACTTGGCTTTGCTTTGACTTGAACTAGCTTGAGTTTTTGGATTCACTGTAAGTGTTTGGAAAACATTTTTTACATCATTGTTGTCATGCCTAGATAGTCTCTGAGCAAAACCTTTGAGAGAACCAATCAATTCTTGAACACTCAAAGTTGACAAATCCTTAGTCTCCTCTATGATTGAAACTATGTTATCGTACTTTCTTGGTAAGCTAATTAGATACTTCTGAACTATTCTCCCATCAGACAAGATTTCACCATAGCTTTTCATTTGATTAATAATCTCAAACAATCTACTCAGGTAATCATCTAGCAATTCATCATCTTTCATTCGTATGTACTCAAAATATCTTCTCAAAAATTGGAGTTTGATAGTCCTTACCTTAGTAGAGCCTTTGTAGACTTTCTCCAGCACATCCCAAGCGGATTTGGCACTTGTCTCATTTGAGATTCTTGGACAAATTTCATCTGATATAGCATTTTGGATGACCTCAACAGCTTTTGCATCTCTCTTGATGTTTTCCTTCAGCTCATTTGTCTGAGCCTCTGTCAAAGCCACAGTACTTAAAGGTACCACATAGCCATCTTCAATCAAACTCCACAAATCATGAGACACAAAAATTGTTCTCAACTTTGTCCTCCAGAAGTCATAATTCACTCCACTGAAGATAGGAATTTGAATTTCTCCACTGCTACTTGAACCAGCCATAAATTTGAAAATTTTGATTCTAGGGTTTCACTTAGAATTTTCCCCCTTTTGAGAATAAAAAAAAGCCCATCTTTGATCAGATTGTCTCGGATACCAAGTTGGATTTTAGAGCATCTTCATCATTAATAAAACTTGAATAAGAATGAGAAAGACGGAAATCTTTATATGAAGGCAGCAGGGCACGGGAGAGATAAGAAGGCAAAGAGCTTTTGTAAAACAGAGTACTTTTCATTCAGAGATATTTTCTGATATTTATGGCTCAGTACATAGGTCGACTGATAAGGAAATGGGTTGACTGAAAAAGACAACAGTCAACCCTTTTACACAAATCTAAGCCATACATGTGGCAAAAGATCAGGGACCCAAAACATTACAAATTACATAAAAGACATAAAAAATAAACAGAAAACAGAAGCAAAGGATTAACTTTAACAAGGCTTTGATAATCGGAATCCATGATTCTGAACATTCTTATGGTGATGCAGTCATGATTGCCATTTACTTCCTCAAGCGTACGTCTTATCGGGTTCTAAATTTACAGTCGCCAATCCAGGCCCTTTCCACTTATGGTCCCTTATCATTCGTTCTAGTGCTCACTTCTCGGATTTTTACGCTGTAGCTTTTGTTCACCTTCACAAAATTCAACCTCATAATCTTGAATGTGGACAGTGTGTTGCATCTTTGTAGAGTATATATGCTACTCATCAGAAGGGAGACTCATGTTCTCATCCACTACTAAACAACAACCATGGATGCAATGTTCCTTGAAGAAGATATGTATTTTAATGCGCCAGTATCCAACTCTCCTCTTCACGGGGATGAGAATTTGACACTTCAATTTCGATTAGGCTTCAACCAAGAAAAGGAACATTGTAGGCATCATGTAAAAAAATTTAGCTTAAAGGAGACAAGTCAATTTTCTATTCAAAAGAGTTTGCAACTAGCATTATTGTCTAGTGATGATATTTCTCTTGAATGGAAGGTCTTGCATTTTAACCCTCTTAAATTATGAGTTCGATGCCAAATTTATTATAGTTGACCTATTGTGTGCTTAGCCCAAACTTCTAGCGTAAAATATCATTGCATTGAGAACAACAAAAAGGAATTTGCAAACAAAGTACAATAGTTCATTTTACAAACATAAAAAATTAAAACTGAATTAGAAATTGTAATGAAAAGGACTTTATTGCTTGTCACACACTTCTTCAACTTTGCCACTTTTGTTGCACAATGGGAAGAGACCAACGCTCCTATATATCTACACCAGCACTAGAGTAGTGGTCTTACTAGGGTTCCAGAAATCTCCACATTTGGAAACTACAGTTTTCAAGTCCATAGCACTGAGAGCAAAGCCTTGTACCTTTGTGTGACATTTCACATTTTCCTTCGAGAACGGAAGATTTGTAAAGGAGCGGCTGCCACTGTGGGATGTTGTCCAACTCAGAAGTTCTTCGTCTCCATAAACATCACCTTTCTTAAGGAATTGGTTCATCATTCCAGTCTGCTGACTTCCATCAGTGGTCGAGTAAACCCACACAATGCCTTCTGTAACGAAGAGAATGCTATCAAATGGTTCTCCCGTTCGACGAACGATGGTGTTCTGAGGGTACACCACTGGCTTGAGATAGTCACATATCATTTCCCGCACTTTCTCATCCATATTTCGTAGCCTTGGTAACTACACATGCAGTAACGCTTACAGTATTAATTAATTGATCAAGATATAAATATATTTTGACAAAAAAAAAAGATACTATATTTATAGCAAGTGCATTAAGGGAAGCTATTCCCATTTTTTTTTAATTGGGAATTAGTTGTGGGACCCACACTAAATCGAATTTCAACAATCTAGACTATCTATTAAAAATAAGGGATGTGATATCCACACACCCCATTTTACTTTTCACACACATTTTTAATTTTCGACCGTCAGATCGGACGAATTAAAGAAGATAAATAGATTAAAATTATCAAATGGTATGTAAGAAGTAAAATGGGATGCGTGGATAGCACATCCCAAAAACAATACATGAACTAAGAAGACAATGCTTGTGGTGCCAAGGGACAATCGCTTCAATCAGAGGTGGTCCAGAAGCAAGGCTAAAAAGGTTTGCGTCTTGGGCCTCACTCTATATTAGGCCTCATATTTTCTTCATACTCTTATTATTTATCTTAAAATTTTCATCATTTATCTTATTCTAGATTAGAAAGAAGAAGAAAAAAATCTTTTATTCTCATAAATTTATTCTGATGTACCTTAAATTCTTATATTGTTGTGAAAAGAATCATATTAAGGTGCTAAATTAAGGCGGCCTCGTGTCATTTTCGTCTTAGGCCTCATTTGCATTGGAACGGTTTGTGCTCGAATAATCCATTTATACGAAAATTCATTTTTCTTGATTAGACGCTGCCTTCTTCTTTTAATTTTATTTGGTTTGATGTCCCTCTTAAGAAAGACTCCCTGCGTATATGTGTGTGTGTGTGTGTGTGAAGGGAGAAAGAGGAGAGACGAGTTTGAGTTTTGTCGAGGAACATACTTTAATCATTGGCTTGAAAAGAGAACGCTTTAGCTCTAGTCTGGTACTCCATGGAAGAAGAGAGAACAGATTATCGACATCTGCATCCTTGTCTAGTTCAATTGCTTGTTTTATGTTTTTTACGACTTCTTTCTCCAAATCTGGACGGAGATTGTTTTCGGAGAGCCACGCTCTTAGACCTTCCATTATGATCTTCCGCTTCGGTTCTTGCACTTTCTTTTCCTCCTCCCACAGCAGACAATTCTATTTCACAAAAAAAAAAAAGAAAAAAAAGGTTCAGTTACATCCAACCCTATTACATAACCCTAACCCTAACTAGGCATCCTTCAGTGGGGAAAATAATGAACATAGGGATATAGATAACCAACCTGCACGTTTCCAATAAGATAAGAAAATAATAGCAACCCAATAGCGGAAATAAGAATTGCAAAGAGGTTCTCCCACACGTAGGAACTTGTTGTCAGACTGGTGCCAAAATTACTGCAAAAGAAAAATAGAATATTAGGGTAACTGAAGATGTCGTACCATATTGAATACTTCGAAACACCATAAAATTCACAAATAAATTATAATCCAAACCTTAGATTTAGGATACCCCAGGACCAAGAGTAAAAGAGCTTTGTCAAAAAACTTATTCGTCCGGTATTTCCAGACTCAATTCCTTTAGAAAATATTCCAAAGTCAAATACTGTAGAATTTAGTGGATTTGTGGGACAGAATTCAGTAAGCAATGTTGTGACATTCATTGAAATATTGTCATCGCAATAGAAACTGGCTTTACATCCTGCAGTGTTTCTGCATGCCTGGTGCCAACACGCTGTTTCCCGTTCAATAGAGAAGAAGTACCTAAAGGCTCCAAGTACCTAAAAAAATCACCGACTATATGGTTAATCAATAAAAAGTGTAGCTACACTGAAAAGTAACAAAAACAGATCACCAAGAGAAAGAAAAGTAATCTATAGAGCTTTGAAAAACAATAATTAATTAGCTAAATTGATGTTGAACTCGCCAATTATATAAATAATATAAAAAAGTAATTATATAATATTGGGGTGATAAAAAAAAGTATTTTTATGCTATTTTATACAAAAAGTTAAAAATTTGAACTAAGCTATACACGATAAGTCATCCATAATACTTCATTATATCAAATCCGTAATTCATATGAGTCAAACTTAAAACTTCTCAATTATGAGTAGAGAAAAACACCACGTACCTAGTGTTAGACAAATATTTGAACTCTAGACCGAGCCAACCCATTCATAAAACTCATGTGACATCAAGCTTATAACATCCCATTCATAAAACTCATGTGACATCGAGATTGTTTGGCTATTTGGTAGGAAATGCTCTTATCGAGCAAATGCCGGGAATTATGGGGGTTCTGGTACTTTGATAGTAAATAAAGACCCCAAATTCCTAGTTCAACACTTTTCGATTAAAAATAATTAAAGCATTGATTAGTAACTATAGATAAAAAACAGTCAAAATAAAGAAGTGAGGAGAAATCGATGAAACTTACATGACTAGCAATGATGTACAGAAAAAAGTTGAAAGCACCTTTAATCCACACCGGAGTGTTTTTCCTAAATTTCGTAGCAGCTAGGTAAATTTCATAGAACCTTGGCAGATATTGGACGAGAAGAAAGAAATTCACAATCTTTATGTTATCCAAATATCTAGAGCCTCCCATTTTGAAATAAACAGCTCCTAGTAACACCTGCACAAGACAAATAATGAGTCAGATTTAATAACTTACAAAACTGACCACTTACTGATATATTCTTACTTGTGGGATTGGAAGAACAGCTAGAACGTCAATTATGATCGAGGTCCATGAGAACTCAAATGTTTTATCACGACGTTCAAATAAATCGAAAAACTTCGACTTCCAAGTACTTGAAGTAAGTGTTTGTTCGTTGGGATGAGACTGGTCTTCAGGTAATGCGGACTTAATAGCTTGACGAATTTGATATGTAATATGCACTATGTAAATGATATCTATGAGTGATCGGAAAAGAAGAGTTATGATCCTCAACTTTTTGTCCACTCCAAGGCACTTACTTTCGCCATCGATGATAGGAATGTACAAAAACAAGGGATCTATTGAGATTGCAACCATGCATGCAATTACAAATATCAAATTCTTCGGTGGAATATTTTCTTCATTTTTTTTCTCCTCCGTCTGATCTGAATCTTCTGCATCTGTCGACGTGGTAGCAGAATTTATGGTTGTCGGAAGATCTCCCGAGTAATAGCCTCGTCGAAAGCTGATATACAAAAAGGAAAAATCAAAGTCATTGGAGTTAGCCTAATAGTGAAGATGAGTAAGTAATGAGTACGAGTATGCTAAATTAAGAGTTCGAAACCCTTCAATGTAACAAAGAAAAAAACTTAATAATGCGTGTTGTAAGGCTTGAAATCCAATAATAAGAACCATTAATAGTAATACTAATTTTCAAATCAACATCATTTTAACATAAGTCCATGACAAACCAGAAAGAATACAAACATTCGTAGATGACCAAGCTTCACGAAGAGACCGCAAAAAAAAAATTAAAATTAAAATATTCAGAGAAACTAACCTCAGTTTAATGTTGCCATCTACCGGATCCTCATTACTAATTTTCATCATTTCTGTTACCCGTAATCAACAACCAGTAAAGAAACCAAAAAAGGAAAAAAAACAATCAACAAACTAGAACTCTTTAAGGCGGAATTAATTGGAGAATTTAGGTACACCAATATTTTAAATAGAATTGGGATTCATAGCCAGCTGCTAGAAACCAATGTGGAACAGAACGTTGCTCAGGTTCAATTTTATAGCTCACATTGCTCACATGTAATTAGGAATAAAAAACAACGACTTAGTAGAGTGGACAAATTACAACAACTTGTCCATAATTATAATTAGTCTTTTCTTAATGTTTTCTCCTTTCTTAAACGATTCTTGTCGATCATGGACTTGTCCATAATAATAAAAAGGACTTGCTCATAATAAAAATAAGACTTTTTTTTCGGTACGAGTCAACCATAGACTTGTCCATAATAACATTTTCCTAATATTTTGCTCATGCTTGAAAAACCCTACCAGTAGATTTTCTTCGTCCATCCATGGATTTCATCAAGGTGAACAAATTCTCTTGTGATGGTTTGAATGGGTCATGCATAGATTTGAGTTCTCCACTTGTTTTTTAACTTCTCCTTAACCCCAACTCTACTCCCAATATCCTTTCTCCGAGATTTTCTGTTTCCTTTAAATTGCGATTCAGGTGTGATAGGTGATGAATAGGCACATTATCTGATAAAAATGGTGGCTGACAGATTTATTGGGGTGGGTTACTCTGATCTAGGTCCAAAAGTTTGAGTTAATTTTTTAATTAAACTTCTTGATTTATCTATTTTTATTCACATTTTTCATTTGAATATTTAAATAAGAAGATCTAAACACTTTATTAAAAATAGTTTAAAAAAATTTATATGTCACCATATGTGAATACCTACATCATAGGTTGAATAAATACATTCAACGTCTTTACCATCAGGCCACTTGCTGTGTTTACTCAAAATTAAATGGCCTAGTAGTAATGTGCACATTATATTTAGCACATATATAATTGAAAAACATGGTCATCCTTGCCTTATATATCTATTCTTTTTTCTTGGTATGTATGTTACACATGATTAATTATGGACATGTTGTGAGAGTACAGCTGGATGAATCGAACTTCGTAGCTTTCAATTGTAATATTAACAGTTTCTATAACGACTTAACTTTCGATTGCATGATACAAAGTCAATCAAACTCCATAGATATTAGATGTATAATGACTTAACTTTCGATTGAATGATACACCAAATTCTATATGGATCTATGCAGGGAAGGATTTATTGTATCCGGTACTGTTCTCATGACATTCTGATTCACTAATACAATGATATGTGTAAGTCATTCTTTCACATAACACTGCAATAAAAGATTGAAGTTAATAGTGACAATGAATCTGGTCCATATAGTTAGGCAATCTCCAACTGATGGCTGGCCAAATGGCTCGTTTTAGCCCTCTGGCCCTCCAAGATTCTCCAAGATATTAATATTTTAATGAACAGTACAGGGTCATATTTGCCTCCGTCTCCAATCGAGGGCCAGAGGGCCAGATGACTCGTTTTAGCCCTGTCACAAAAAACCGTCTCCAACCGAGGGCCATAGGGCCAAACATAATTTATTATTTAAATTTAAAAACTAAAACAACTTAAATTTAAAAACAACAACTCAAATTTAAAAATTACAACTTATATTTAAAAACTACAACTACAATTTAAAAACGACAAATTAAATTTAAAAACTACAAATTAAATTTGAAAACAACATTAACTTAAATTTAAAAACTACAATAACTTAAATTTAATATCTATAATCAACATCATCTTCATCATTCGCCATCGTAGGAGTATAGTCAGAGGTAAATAGCCGTCGTCGGCTCATAATTTCTTTCTTTTTTCCTATCAACATAGGCCTTACTCATTGGAGTGTAATTCGAAGTGTTCCTTTCCATATTCTTATCATCCATCTCTTCTTGTATTTGTTTAGTCTGTTCTTCATGCCTACATTTCCTTTCTTCCGCCTTAAGGGCATTTTGCTCCGCCAATAATCGCAATGAGGCCGCCACTTCATGTTGAGCGGCGTAATCATCATTTGCCTTGCCCTTTTCCTTCAACCTTCGCGCCTTGTTTCGTCCCATAGCCCTAGGTATGGAACCTTCACCCGAAGACAGATTTTCTACCCTTGCTTGTTGAATGGTTGGAGATCCATCTTCATTCATATCTACAGTTGAGGATGTAGTTCCGAACACTGGCGTAGGAGCTCTCTGTGGTGGATCTTCAAATAACACCCACCCTTTACAAATTTTCCAACAACTGTGAAACTGAAACGGTTTCAAGCTGCTCTCCATATACAATTCCTCCGCTTGGCATATCTAGAAAAAAAATTAAAGGAAATTAATTTATGAAATTAAATGTAATATAATTAAATATTTAAAATAAATTGTGAAACACTTACTTCGTTGTAGTAATTAGCGCCGCTTTCATGTCTACTTGCGGTTGCAAACAATGCTTGATGCCATTTGTTCAAACTTGGTTGAAGATGTTTCTTCCATCTTGAAGAACAACTCTCCTGATTTCGAATATTCACTAGAGTGGTGCCTTCATAGAACTCTAAGTATTTTTTGGACACACAAGTCCAAACATCGTCATTTGTTTGACAATTCCCCCTCACACTATCTTCTGACACCCATCTATAAGCCTTGCAAAGAGCTTCATCTTCTTTTCGGGTCCAAGCCCTACCTTCATTTGAAAATTATTGAAAAAATTGGAGGATAGATTTTTGAAAGAGGAAGGAAAATATGAGAATTGAAATGGTGTAGGAATGGTGAAAATTTTGTGAGGAATGGTGAATGAATGGTTTAGGTATTTATAGGAAAAAAAATGGAATTTTTGAGAGTTAAAAAAAACAAAACAAAAAAGGCCCCAAAAACCTATTAAAAATTTTTTTTTAAAAAAAATTGAAACCAACGGTAACTAGCAACGGCTAGCTAACGTCAGCTAGCCGTTGGATTCAAAATTTTGAATAAGAAATCCTGTCGGTTATAACTGACAAGATTATGCGATTTCTGGCCAGCCCCGGGCTAGCCAGCCCTCCCGCCCTCTAGCCCTCTCCAATCCCGGGGCCCTCCCAGATTCCAGAGCCCTCTGACTGCACCCGTTGCACCTTTTCTTACTTACATGGGGATCAGCTTCCATTCTAGTTAATGGTTCTAACATTAGGGTGAGTTTGTGTTGCTTCTCTTCATGAAGTGTGTGATTCCCTTTTTCTTTCCTACAAAGAATTGCGGTTTCCTCATTATTGTTCACTCTTATTAGAAAACCTTTTAGCTAAAAGCAATTCTGAAACTTTGGCAAAACAGTGTAACAATAAAGAAAGTCGAACATATGAAATGAGAGAATTTATTTGGATATAGCTAGTTTTAACAAAATTCAATGAAGTTAAAGATAGCAACCATAATATACATCATCCATTTGTTAGATCAAAGGCAGTTGTGGTTAGGGAGCAAAGTGTTTAATCGCACGTGGCCTCAAAATATATGGGCCCCCAAATAAATTTCTATTTAATATAATATTATTACATCAAATTTTATGAAAGTTGACCTTGTGCTTCAAGAAAACTGTAAAGTGCATAAGACATATATAATGGGTTTTTGTTACTTTGAAAAATGTTGAATTCAATAGATAATGATAAATTTAAAGATTGTTGTAATCATCTTCAAAACTTTCTTAAGAAATGTGATTTTTTTTTATGTCGATAGGGATACATTATTTGTAGAGTTGAAGTTTTTACAAGAGCATTAAATGAAGATATTCATTGACATATTGGATTACTTGAGATGATTGTTGTTTCCAACTGCAAGCATTGCATACAAATTTTTGTTGATGTATATTTTACTGTTGCATCTGCGGAAAGAAGTTCCCAAAGTTAAGTTATTAAAATCATACTTGTGATCAACCATGTTGCAAGAAAGGTTAAATGAGCTTGCTTTGATATCGAATGAAAGTGGTTTTTTTTTAGACAAAGTTGATTTTGAGGTATTATTGATGATTTTGCAGCAAAAAATGCACGAAGAACTATCCTTAAGTTAAACTTCAATGCGGGACTTTTTGAAGAGTTTGCTCATTTGGTTTCCTAATATTGAACTGATTGCTGATTATTAAGTAATATGATTATTTTTGTAGCTTTCTTTACATTCTATGATATTTGGAAACTAATAATTAGCCTGATTTTTAAAGTTTGTTTCAGTTTTAGTTATTGTTTTTTAGCATCAATGCATTGTTCAAACTTTTTTTTAAGATTGTCAGAAGAAGGGCCCCATTATAAATTTCACGCGGGACCCTAAAATCGTTAGATAATTGTCACGTGGTATCATCAGTTGTAAAAGAGAATCTCTCACACTTTTGGCCTGGTCCAAAAACTAAGCAGAAAAGTGAATATAGGAGCACTTCTCTGAATCCCCAAATTCTTAACAATCGTGAACGGAATGAACATAATTTATTTGAATTGTTACAAATGTTAAGTTTCCCAAATTAATTTCTCAAGAAAATGGAAAAAAAAAAAAATTGGATACATTTAATATCCATGTGATTTTGTTTAAAATCAGGCAACCAAAATCAGCTTACACTCTGAAAGTAGTATGTGAACAAATTATACATATATTTGATCAAGATGAGGAGGGTTTTTCAGCCAAAAGAACAAAAATGAAGTTTTCAAGTTACTCTGAAAGGCAAAAGGAAGAGATGTGGCACAAAAAGCATTTTTAAGATTCCTCAGGTGGCTGGTCAGTCTGGTCCTTAGATTCTGATTCTGGTTCTGGTTGCGCCTCCTTGGAGGCGGCCTCGGCAGCGGCAGCTGCTTCCTCAGTTGCTTCAGCAGATGTGGCATTTTTCCTATTTGCAGCAGCCTGGAGGACATGGCTGTAGTTCCCTTTCTCCAGGAAGAGCTGAGAAAAATGATGCTTGCAGTAAAGGACTCCATCAAGAGCTGCATAGGATGAATGTGTAAGGGGACAGCCCCCATGAGCACACCTG